CCATTTCCGCCCCTCCTCCCACTCCCCCCTCCCCCTCCTACTCCCCCCTCTCCATCCCTAAGAGCAGTCAGGGTTTCCTGCCCAGTGAGAAGTTCAAGTTCCTCCCCTCTCCCTCCAGGTCCAGGAAGGTGAGTGTCCAGACAGACTGGATCCGCAAAATCCAGTATATGCAGAGGAAACAAGTCCCAGTGCCATTGTCAATGGCTTTTCAGAAAGACTCCGGGCCAGCCACATTCAGAGAATCCGGCCACATTCAGAGAATCTGGTTGGATTGCGTCCTCGTTCAGTCCCAGTCCAACTGGCCTTGGTAAACTCTCATTAGATCCGTCCCCTTGTATCAGTGGGTGATCGCATCCCTCACAGTCCTTATTTCCTTTTTCATTTTCTTCCTCCTTCTGCTCCTCATTTGGACCTTGGGGGGCTCAGTTCGGTGCTCCAATGTGGGTCTCCGTCTGTCTGGCGATGGATGGAGATAGAGACAGAGACCCACATCGGAACACTGGACTTAACTCCCTAGGTCCAAACGAGAAGCAGAAGGAAAGAGAACGTGAGCAAAGAAGGCAAGATCAGAGAGAACCTTCACCTATTCTTTTTTTTAAAGATTTATTTACTCATTATGTATACAGTGCTCTGCCTGCCTGTATGCTTGCACACCAGAAGAGGGCACCAGATCTCATTACAGTTGGTTGTGAGCCATCGTGTGGGTGCTGGAACTTGAACTCAGGACCTCTGGAAAAGCAGCCAGTGCTCTTCGTCTCTGAGCCATCGCTCCAGTCCTGTTCTTAATTCTTGTATCACCTGGTGGATAGCATTTATTGCTCACCTATCATGCTAGTACCAGTACTAAATTACAGATGCAAAGCAGTCTGAAGAGTCATTGGCACTGAAGCTATATCAGTTCCTTCACCGACACACAGCCTGTTTTATCCTTGGTACCTCATTCAGTTAGTTTGCTTCTTCCACAGGGATGGCACATAACAGCAAGTATCATCTCAGACAAGGGTGTTGAGATCAAGTCTCCATGACCTGCTTGCTGTTTGTTACATTTTTGCTACACCCTGATTCTGTATCTATCTGATGGCACCATGCTACCCAAGAAGGTTACCATTATCCATCCAAAATACCTAGGTCCTATCATAACTAAAAGGAGCCACAAGAACAATAAAGGATGCCATTTGATCTCTATTTGATTTCTCCATGTCTCTCTCATTCTCACATACACAGAACAATTTTTAAAAATGAATTAATTTTACAGTATATGAGTGTTTGCCTGTATGTGTGTCTGTGCACCATGTACATGTGACCACAAAGGCCAGAAGAGGGCGTCAGAAGCCTTGGAACTGGAGTTATAGAAGGTTGTGAGCTGCCATGTGGGTACTGGGAACTGATCCTGGGTCCTCTGGAAAAGCAGCCAGTGCTCTTCTGAGTCATCTTTCTAGTCCCCAGCTGTACATATTAAAAAATGGGGGAAAAGAACAAGAGGAAGAGAAGGAGGAAGAGAAGGAGGAGGAGAAGGAGGAGGAAGAGGAGGAGGAGGAGGAAAAGAAGGGCATAATCCAAGAGGGAACAGAGCCCAGTATTTGTGTTTCTAGAATGCTTGGAAGTCTCTCTCTAAGAGAGAGTATACCATGCCCCAGGCGCTGAGGTTAGAGTAGCATGTAACCAGTCCCTCACTGTCTAGGTTGATCCATAAAACAGACTGCACACATGTGCCATGGAGATTTGAACTATACTATTCTGTTGCCCACTTCCTAATTTTTACACATGTGCAACACACAATCTCACACGTTCATTTATCTTCACTCAGATTTGTCTAATTAGAGAACAGAAAATTAAGGAAAACCAATAACTTAAGAGACTAACAGAAAAGGTTTAGATTTTAATTAAGACAACTAGTGTTTCCGGGTGGGAAGAATGGAGGATTAGGGAGCAGTGGACAGTATTTTTCTTTGACTGTATAATCAAGTCATATTAATATAAGTTGGTCCAAACTTACTTTCTGCTCATGAGTAATAACGAGGCAGGCATTTCAAATCAGTGCTGAGTTAATGTTTTTAGAGCAATTATTTAATTTTCAAAGCCCAATTATCTGTCAAGTAAATCACCAATTTCCAGTTCATCCTTATTTAATATAAAAAAATCTAATTAGTATAAAGCTACTTCACAGCTGCCTTCAAATTAAACTGTAGTTGAGAGCATGCAGCCTCGGGGGCTTGCCTTGGCATATTCAAACCAAACATGTTTGCTCAAAGTGAAAGAATAATGCTAAAAGTTATGTTTTATGTTGCTGTTTAAAATGGTGCTTTGTAACTTCAGAATTTAACTGGTAAAATATGCTTCCAAACACAGGATTGGCCGCGGAGAGAATCATAAAATAAACATGTTGTCTTTAAACCACTTGATTATCAAATCCTGAGAATTTTAAGAATAACTAGGTCGGCTACTAATACACTCCAGTTAGCATCACTCTTCCTTGCTTTAAGTAGCATGCTGGATCACAGCGTTGCAGACTTCCCTTCCTTCTATTGTATTTTCTCAATTAGTTTTTGTTTGTATACAAAATAATGGGCTTTTAAAATGAAATCCCCATGCATACTTACCACAGAACTTCACTCATATCCACTCATCCATCACCCCTTTCCTTCTGAGTCCTTTCTTCCCAAATTGTCTCCCTTGGCCTTCCATATCAGATAGGTAGAGATCTGCCTCAAAATAAAGCATGTAATATCTTATAATTGTAATATTTAGCTTTCTCCCATTACCATTTCCCCTCCCGTCTCCCCTTAAACACCTTCTGCTACATAGTTCTACAGAGTCGACATTCAATTCTCATGTCATTTATTTTAAAAATCTGAATTTAGCTATAATGGAAAAATGTTTCTTTCTGGATCTGGCTTGTTTGATTTAACACGACGATCTCCAGTCCTCTCCGTTTACTGGGAATGTCATAGTTTTGTTCTTTCTTGACCGACGAATGAAATAACATTATGCTTGTGCACATGTATGCACGTGCATTTCTTTATCCAATGATTGGATCTAAACTGACTCCCTAGGTTTATTCCTAGAAATCTGATGCTTTTAAAAACATTTTGTGTGTATGAGTGCTTTGCCTGCATGTATGTCTGTGCACCACGTGCATGCCTAGTGCCTGAGGAAGTAGTGAACCTCCATGGCGGTGTTGGGAACCAGACTCTGGGTCCTTATGAAGAACAGCAAGTGAGCCAACTCTTCAGGCAGATATCTTGTGGTTTTTGAAGCTATTGTGAAGGGGACTTTTTTTAAACCTGGAACTTTTTAGAAAGCTTTATCACTGATATAAAGAAAATTTATCAAGTTTTTAATGTTGACGTGTATTCTGTTCCTTTGCTGAAAGCGTTCATCAGATCTAAGTTTTCTGGAAGTCTTTGGGTATTTTAAGTATTATCTACGAAAGGGATAATTTGATTTTTTTATTTTCATCTCTTCTGTGTCCTTTTATTGGGTTATTGTTGTAACTAAAATTTCAAGCATTATAATGGATTAAAGAGCAAAAAATAAGGCCGGATTAGTGGCGCACACCTTTAATCCCAACACTTGGGAGGCAGAGGCAGGTGGATCTCGAGTTCAAGGCCAGCCAGGAGAGAGTTCCAGGACACCCAAGGTTATACAGAGAAACCATGTCTCAAAACAAAACAAAACAAAAAACCAACACCCCTTTGTCTCTATTGAGATGATCATGTGGTTCCTGCCTATGAGTTTGTCTTACATGAACTATTTTGTGTGTTGAATCATCCTTAGATTGATGAGAATGGGAAACTGAAGTTGAAGTTGCCCACTATTACTTACCTGGACAGACATGCTTTTTATAACTAGGACTGGCTGTTATGTTTTGTGAACTTGAGTACACCATTATTATATCTTCAGGATGAATTACTCCCGTCAGTAACATGCAACGACATTCTTTCATGGTTTTGCCGAGGTCATCTCACCAGAGTTGGTCAGAACTTTGGTGCAGCAGCTCCCATCATTTGCTGCTCTCTCAGTATGTCTTCCAGAGAGATGCTTTTCTTTTCTTTCTTATTTTACTTAATTGTTTTTCATTTTATATACCAACCCAAGTTCCCCCTCTTCCCCTTCTCCTGCCCCTAACTCTCCTTACCCCCTCCACTCCTCAGGGGGGTAAGGCCTCCTAAGAGGTGTTTTTCAGCCCAATAGTTAGGTCTTTTTAATGGCAGTTTACATTTGCGTTACTGAGAGGGACTGGCTGGTTGTACTTTTGTTGTTTTCCTGTTTGCTTCAATTACTGACTGTTTTTATTGTCTGTTTCCTTAGTAGTATTAGAGTTCTCTGAATTGAACATAATCGATTCTTCAATAGTTTCAGGGTTTTTGTTTTTTGTTTTTTTGCTGTTCATCTATTCCTCTCCTGAACTTTATTCTTTTCTGTACTCTCATGATTGTGATTTTCTTCCTCTGTGTGGGATTCCTTTAATATGTTCTGCAGTGCTGGCTTGGTGGTCATGAGTTTGTTTAGTCGGTGCCCGTCTTGAAATGCTTGTTAATTTCTCTGTCAATTTTAGAAGATAATTTTGCTAGATATATTCAAATATTCCTTATGCATTGCAAAGACACGTGAGGAGTCTTACCTTTTACTTCACACGTGGACAAGCACTTAAGAATAACTTCTGGGATGGAGATGGCTCAGTCGGTAAAAACACTTGCTGAGCAACCATTAAGACCAGAATTTGGATACCACCACCGACATGACAGGTTGCGTGTGACCTCCCATGTCTGTCACTCCAGAACTGAGAAAGACCAAGAGTAGTAGGCGAATTAAAGGGGCTTGCTGTTTGCCAATCTAGCCAAAAAACCATGAGCTGTAGGTTCAGAGGAACCTTATTTCAAGGCAATAATGTAGGGAATGATAGCAGACACTTGCTGTCACCTGACCCACTCACACATGTGCGCACATGTGCGAGAGCATGTGTACACACCTACACACACAAATGAAAAAAACAGCTGTTGCTCTACCACAAGTGTGGTTGGATTTATTTTTTCTTTCACATAACAGTTTCACAGGGACAGTTAGTTTTTAATATAAACAAATCAGTTACCATTTTTATTACATTAATTTATTTAGTATCTGTGTGAGGGTGGGCCCTGTGGGCCACGGCACATGTGCGGTCAGAGGAAAACCTGCAGGAGTCAGCTCTCCCTGCTGTATATCAAGCAGGGGATCCAGAACTGAACTCAGCTTGTGAAGCTGGGTGCACAGTGCTTCTACCCACTGCACCATCCTGCCGGCCCTAGACTGGTAAGTTTTTCTTATAAGGAAATTTAAGAAATTCAAGGAAACATTTTGATTCTAAAATAATTCTTAAATAAATACTAAATGACTCAGGCCAGTCACTAAAATGTTTTATTTGCTATAAATAAACACAATGATATCAATTATGATCAAGACTTGGCCATTTTTTCCATCTGGATATCAATATATTCCTTTATAAACAATGTCGAAGAATCATGTGGACTCAAGTGGTTTGAAACTTATATGTATATATTTATAGAAAGACTAAAGCAATTTGTTAATGATTAGTGAATAGTGAATTTCTAAGTAATTTTCTTTTCTTTCACATAGCTTCTGTATTTTACATATTTTTCTGTAAGTAGAATATATTAGCTTTAAAATAAAAAGGGTTTTATCTGTTTATTCTACATATATACCAGTAATTACTATGCAAATAATCACACAAGGGACTTGAAGAGAGCTAACAGTGGCTCATCCTGCCCATTCCCCTGGATAAGTATCTATGCAGTATAGTGCTGTACCCCACCTCCTCTGTTGCATTTTTTTTTAAGTTTTTATTGTGAATTGTTTAAGTTTTTAAGTGGTGGGACAATTCATGTATTTCAAGTTCAGAAGAGTCTGCTAGTGGTCTGGACTGGAGCTGTCTGGCACATAAACTTTTGATACTACTGTGCATTTTTTATGCATACTGATATTCTCAGGAATGGTTTTCTGACCTTTGTAAAATTGGTTTCTTTCACAAACAAGACATCTGCCTGTCACACATACATCTGCCTATCTTAATATAAAATGCAGACCTTTTTAAAGAACAAATTTTTACATGCACTTATTCAGCATGTTATTTAAATAATGTAACTTTTTTGTATCAGAGGCTTTACAATAAAGAAAAATATTAAAAATATACAGTATAAAACAATTATGAATTTACAATATCAATACTCCTGGTTTAGTTTTTGCTAATGAGATTTATCCTTAGATTTTTCTTTTTCCTTTTTCTTCTGTTTTTCTTCTGCTTGTTTTTCAAAATAATCTTTAAGAAGACGGTCCAGCTGTGGCTCACACTGGCTTGCATGTTGCAATCCATCTTCCCTTCCTTAAGAGATACAGAACATAAGATTGTTCTTTACAGGGTTTCCATGCTATTGTCCCCTCAGGCATCTCCCAAGGGGACACGTGCCCCAGATTTTCCTCATAAACCACCCAGGAATTAAGCCCACAAAGTCAGTTTTGATTAAAAATGCTTGAAACAAGTACATTTTTATTTTACCTTCACAGTGTTGGATCACACGCCCCCAGAGGCGATTTTTCCTCAAACAGGATAAGCTTCCCACAATCAACAAATGCCTTCTTCCTCTGGTCAACGCAACATTCATTCGCTTTTCTGAGTCGATGAACCCTACTTGTCTCGTCCTCACGCAGGACAGAATAATGACTTCCTTCTCAGCGCCCTGAAAGGCATCCACTGTGGACACCTGCACAGCTCTAACATCAGGATGGCCGGCGTCCACATCACTCAGTAAATGGCAAATCTGCAGAGAAAGGAGCAGGCTCATAAAGTACAGATTATGAAGAACCTAGTCCCCAAACTGGTCAACACAAACATTTGAAGTAAACTAATTCAGGAACATCTTTCTTACGACTTGTGAGGATTTAGGTAAAAAGCCTCTAAAATTAAAAATGACATTATTATTATTTATGAAGCATAACCAAGTGATGATTAACCAATTGCATGGATTTCATTTGTATATGATAATCTAAACTGATAAGAAACTAATAATGAAAAAAATACTAAGAGAGAAAAGATTATAAAAATCTACTTAGAAGTAACTAGCTCTTTTGTACATCCTTAATTTACTGATGAAATATAATAATGTAGGAACATTTTGAAAAACAGAGTCTCAATTCCATCTGTCCCCAGACACAAAGCATACACCACATTTTCTTCCTCTAATCTGTTTATTTGCATTTTGTCCCAACAGCTGTAAAGTGAATTTAATTAAACCTTGTTAGGTTTACATTGAGTTATGCAGAAAAAATCCAGGCCAGAAAAATACATCAGAATGTTCTTTTGTAAGTATACACATGACAGTCCCAAAGGTCTCAGGTACCAAAGTGAACTACTGCAAACATAAAACCAAATATTATAGAATATGATGTTTAACATGTGACAAATATCACCCTATGTAGCACATACCTTGTACATTTGTGATTTGTATAATGTTATCACCCCAATCATGGAGCCCGCTATTCCACTTACAATCAGTGATTGGATTAACTTGAGTGTGAAAGCAGCTTCTGCCACATTTTGAAAGCTGTTTTCTCTTTCAACCTGGAGTAAGAAACAGATCTCAAATTATCTTCCCAGAAAGGCTACAGGAAGACTCAGTGAAAGCAGGCAAACAACAACAATAAAATTAAACCAAGAAATTAAGTAGTGATTCCCATCAACACTGATGTCATTCACCTGCTCTGCTCCGGTAACATTGTAGAAACACAGCGTGGGCAGCCACTCCAGTACAGGGCTCCTCTCTGTCTCTGAAACACCATTCACGAGGTTTCCTTCATAAAACAGATCATTAGCTATGGCACTGATCACAGGGTGACAGCGGTATTGGGTTCTCAGCAGAATGGGTTTGTGACCCTAAGAAATTTAGATGGAGGAAAACAAAAATTAGAAGACAGCATTTTCTTTTCTCTAGAGAAAGAGAAATCATGTTTAAAAGTTTTTAATGTTACATCATGTGCTTAGATAAATTACAACAATGCGAGAACAGACTACAGATAAAGTATTTTAAAACAAATTAAAAAGTATGTTCACAGACTATAAAACCAAAAATACAGAGTAAACCAACATTGTGCTTTTATAATCTCCTGGAGTTTGGTCTAATAGTTAAGGTCTTCTAACATTAGGCGGGCCTAGTGTACAAGCCTGTGATCTCAGCTCTAGGGAGGCTAAGGCAAGCAGAACACAAGTGTAAGCTCTATCTGGACTAAACAAGGAGTTCAAAGCCAACTTAGACACTGTCTCAAAACGCCAAGTGAAAAGAGGGCTGTGGTGTTTGCCCAAGGCAACAGTGTTGCCTACTATCCACAAGGCCCTTCAATTCAACACCTGCTACCACAGAAAGAGTTACGGACAGTTTGTTCACTTTCTTCCTTGGTGCAACCACTGCTTCATTCAGAATAGCAAAGCAGCTCCAGCGCTCAATACTGCGCCCTTGCATCCGAGTCTCACCACTCCAGCGAGCTTCTGGAGCACATTATCTGCAAAACTTCCTGGTGTTACTAAAACAAACCAAGCAATGCTGAGAGAAGAGAGCTGTGTCCGGGGACAGGAGCTGAGTGCTCAGGGAACAGAAGGAAGCCTTCCCAGAAATAAGATCAGAGGCTACCAGGTACAGAGAAAGTTGTTATTTAGAAAGAACAAAGTTGCCATTTGGGATGATTTAAAACAAAACAGTGTGGGCTGATGAGATGGGTAAATGGCATTTGTCATCAAGTCTAATGACCTGAATAGAGAACCACTCCTATAAGCTGTCCTCTGACCTCCACATGAGTACAGACAGACAGACATCTGACAGACACACACACACACTTTAAAGGAAATAAATAAAAATAACATAGTATGGCCACTAAGAGGATCAGCTCTTGCCATAAAACCTAACAACCTCAATTTGCTCCCCAGCACGACTGTAGAAGAGCAGAACTAACACCCACAAGCTGTCCTTTAACCTTACACATGCAACCCCACAAATACACATATGTGCTTTCACATAAATAAAATAAAAATTTGGGCCTGTCACAGTAGCACACACCTTTAATCCCAGTACTCAGGAGGCAGAAGCAGGCAGATCTCTGTGATCTGGAAGCCAGCCTGGTCTACAGAGTTCCAGGCCAGCCAGGACTACATAAAGAGAGACCCTGTCTCAAAACCAAGTAAATAAATAAGCAAACAAACAAGCATATATAGTACTAAGCTATAAAACTATGCTAAGTAAAAGATATAAGAGATACATATTGTGCGGTTCCATTAAGATAAAAACACAAAACAGGTAAATCCATACAAGCAGACTGCTGGTTGCCATGGACTGTAGGTAGCAGGGGGTGGGGAGTAACTGCTGAATGGATATGAGGTTTCATTCGGAGGCAAAACTGGTCTACAAAATTGGTCTACAAAGCAAGCATTGCCTTGATATTAAAAGCAGATCAGATCACCACAAAAAAAATGAAAGAAAAGAAAACTATAAACCAATATCCCTGATGAACACAGATACAAAAATTCCCAAAAACACTTTAAAAACTTCAACTACATTAGGGCGGTCATACACCATAACAAAGTTGGTTTCATCCCATGGATGTAAGGATGAATCAACATACACCATCAGTAAATACAGTAATACAGTACAAATACAGACTTCAGAACAGCAATCATATGAGGCATTATGCTGGTTAGTTTTAGTCAACTTGACACAAGCTACAATTATCTGAGAAGAGGAAACCTAAATTGAAAAAACTGCTCTATCAAATTAGCCCATAGCAAGTCTGTGGAGCATTTTCTGATTAATGATAGAAGAGGATGTGCCACCTGTGTACAAGAAAGCAAGTTGAGCAACCAGTAAACAGCTTTCCTGCCTTCTCTCTCAGCTCTGGTCTCTAGGTTTCTGCCTTAGATTCCTGCCCTGACTTCCCTTCATGACAGACTACAGCTGTAAGCTGAAATAGATTCTTCCCTCCCCAGACGGCTATCGCTGGCTGTATTTATCACAGCAACAGAAACCTAACTAGGACAGGCTCACCTCACCAGAGGCAAAGGTCTTTAACTAAGGTCAGCACCTCTTGGTGCTAAAGGATGAAGAAACTGGAAAGAGAAGGGACACAATAGAGGCTACACACAACAATCTAAAACCAACTTACACCAAATCGTGAATATTTAAATAGCAAAAACAGCTATATTACTGAAACATACGGATTCAATGCTTTCTTCATCTGAATTCCAATCATCCCTCACAGAACTAGAAAAATAAAACCCGAAACTAACTGTAAAATTCAAATGAAACTGCAGAAGATCCCAGCTAGTCAAAGCAACCCTAAGCAGAAGATTGATGCTGAGAACATCACAGTCCTGACCTCAAACTGCCAGAGCCACAGTAACAAAAACAGCCAATATTATACAGAAACAAACAAACCAGGAAAACAGAATAAAGAGCCAAGAAAGGAACCCACAAAGGTGTCTAAACGTATACTAAAAAACACAGCTTCTTCAGCCCTGGAGTTGGGGAAATACACTGTCAACCGCACAAGAACGAAACTCAACCTGCACCAAAACCAACCCAGAACAGATCCAGGACCTTAGTAGAAAACCTGAAACTCTGCACCTAAGGAAGTATGGTCAGTGGAAAGGACGCAAACAACACACAAAATACCCAGTAGTGACAAACAGACCGCATGAAATTAAAAAGTTTTCTACATAGCAAAGCAAACCATGACCAGAGTGAAGAGTCTGGTGAATGGGAGACAATCTGCCAACTCTATACCTGACAGGGGATTAATATTCGAAACTTTCAGAGCTCTCCCAAAATACCAAAACTCAAACATTAACCCAATCACTAAATGGGCAAACTGACTACACAGTTCTCAAGAGAAAGACACATGGTCAATAAATACATTTAAAGTGTTGAACATCCTGGGACAGTAAGATAGATTAGCAAGTAAAGGTACTTACTGCCATGTCTGAAGATCTGATTTTGGTCCCTTGAACAAACATGGTAGGGTATAACTTCGGTAATAAATTGTCTTGTGACCTCACCTGTACTGTGACATGTGTGCCCCCAACTTTGCCCACCAAATAAATAAACATAAAAAGAAAAAAAAAGCATTCATTATCCTTAGTTATTAGGGAAATGCAAATTAAAACTGTTTTGAGATTCCATTTCACAGCCAGGATGACTATCAACAGGAAAAGACATAAAGGGGACTGGAGAGGCAGCGCCACGGTTAAGAGCACTGTTCAATCCCCAGCTGCACATGGCAGCCTACCGCCTCTAACTCCAGTCCCACTGTCTTTCCTGGCCTCTGGAGGCACTGCACACACATGGTGCACAGACATACATGCAGGCAAACACTCAGTATGTATAAAAACAAATACAATCTCAAAAACAAAATTAAAAAAAGAAAAGCAAACACATGGTGATAAATGTCAGTGAGATGTGGAGGACAACCTTTGGTCTCATGTTGGTAGGAGTGAAAAGAGATTTGGCAACTATAAAAATTCAGTATGGCAGTTCCTTAATAAATAAATTTAAAAATATAAATATATAGCTGGGTGGTGGTGCTACACTTCTTTAGTCCCAGCACAGGCATAGACAGGCAGAGCTCTGTGAGTGCTGTAGGAAGTATTACAACTTGTATTTACCTGCCAACTGGGGCGTGGCCTCTTATACTATTTTTGGGGAAGCCAAACCTGCATGCGGCCCTTCTCTCATTCCCATTGCTTGGCTGCTCTTTTGGATCATGTGCTTCAACTGGTCAAGCGGAGGATTCTGATTTGTGAGTTTACCCCTTAATGAATAACTATTTCTCATTTCTGAGCTAGTGTGGGATTTCTTTTAAGCATCTAACCACCATAACACATACGAGTGAAATGTCAAGGTGAAAGCCATTTTTTACATGTTAACAAAAATAAATAAAAGTTTAAGTATTTACAGAAAATTCTTTTATTCTTCCTCCATTAGGGGAAAATTTAGAACTAGGTAGTGGTTGCTGGGTACTGTGACGAAATGTCACTTCACTGTTCCTCTTAACGCTCATGGATAATGGAAGGTGACGTACACAGAGAAACACTTCTGTATTTAAAGCTATGTTAGAACAAGAGGATTCCACTGTCTGTAAGATGAATACTTTCCAAAGACCTCCAACCAAAAACTATTTAATAACAAGGATAAGGTACCATCTCCTTTACCCACCCTCACAGTATACAATCAACAATAACTCGAAGTAGTTAGGAGTACATGCCATTAAGCAAAGTCGATCAAAAAGAGTTTGTTCCAATCCATTTTCATGAGCTGCATCAGAACCCTGAATTGTAGGAGGCAGCTGTTTGGGGTCTCCAACAAGAATTAACTTTTCACACTCAAACCTAAAAAGGAACAATTTAGAAAATTAATCTAAGCAAAGAGAAAAGGCATACTAACATCAGCCATTGCTCTTTCTGAAATGTGCTCTTAGAATTCAAATGTAGAAAGTGCTCTAAGAGCTAGCAAGGTTCAACGGTGCTAACCAGCATATTAAAGGTTTTGAAATGTTACCTGAAAGAATCTCGGGTTAGGCAGAGTGGATAAAGTGCTTTAAGATCTTTGATCTCTGGCATTTCATATAAAAGCTGGACACAGCAGCAGTGTAAAAATCTATAATGCCATTGCTGGAGGCTGAGAGACAGAGGATCTGGGGACTCGCTGTCAGACCAGCTGAAATGGTGAGCTGTGGCTTCAGTGAGACCCTACCTCAAAAAATAAGGAGACGGCTGAAAAGATGGCTCAGTGGTTAGAAGCACTTGTTCTTGCAGAGGACAAGGTTTGATTCCTAGCACCCACAGGGCAGCAACTGTCCACCAACTCCAGGTCACACATGATACAGACATATGAGCAAAATACTCATATGTATAAAATAAAGTAAAAAAATAAAATGTTAAAATTGAAAAAGGAAAAGAATGTGAAGAACTACAAAGGAATACATTAGATGTCTACTCTGGCCTCACATGTATACACATCTATCTGAGTACACATAGGTGAACACTGATACACACACCCATGTGGACGGACACACTTTCACGTAACATACATTCTTTTTTCACATAAAATATATTAGGTATCCCTTGCTTCTACATAGAGTCAGCATTTCACAGACCACATTTGAGAAACAGTGATCTTAAGACACCAGAACTCTAAAGCTGTCTTGGAATTCTTTGGCTTACACTATTTTAGAAGTGAGACAAACAAGGCCTGCAGGACAAAGTGTCTAAGTAGGAGCAAGGCAGTGTGGGAAAGTCCTAGGTTCACAGACAAACCTGTATCCAAATCTCAACCCTATCTTTCATATCTGTGGCTCTCCCTGCTTCATGTTCTTATCTGTAACCCGGAGGGAGAAACTCTCCCGGGCTGTTTAAAAGAGCAAATGAAGGCCACAATGTACTTAGGCTACAGCAGAACTGTGTTACTACTCTGTGCTCCACCCAGGGCCTCAGTGACCCTCCAAACCTGGTTGCTGGAGAGTGACCAAATCAGCCTGATTGCCCTGTACCATTTCAGTGAAAAGCTAAATGCCCAGGAGTCTCCCGAGTCCCAGGCAAGCCCTGACAGCTGGTGTCCTACCGACTCATCAACTGGGGGCTGAGCAAGGTCTCCAGGTCCTACAGTGGTGGACGCTTCCTTAAAGGTGCCTTATTTTTAATTCTCCATGGTACTGGGATTAAACCCAGGAATCACATTAACCATGTTTAGATTTCACACTCCTAAATTTCTGAAGACGGGGTTGGAGCAAAGGCAAGTGGTTAAGAGCACTGGTTGCTCTTCTAGAGGTCCTGAGTTCAATTCCCAGCAGCCACATGGTGGCTCACAACTATCTCTAAAGAGATCTGGTGCCTCTTCTGGTGTGCAGGTATACATGTAGGCAGAACACTGTACACATAATAATAAACATTTAAAAAAATTCTGGGGACAAATTTTCATTTTCAATGTGCTTTTCTATATATTCTTTCAAAAGCTTAAAAAATACTTTCAAAAGCTAAACCATCAAGTCATACAAGAGAGGAAACTGGAGGACACTGCCCAGTAGAGTTAGGAACCACTAATCCAGCTAACAAATCTGAGAAGTCCTATAATGGTCCTAGCACTAATCCTTTTATGGCTTTAAGGACTAAGTGATTCCAATAGCTAAACTATAAGTCCACAAAATTTTAATATATTTACTTCAAAAAGTTTTTCTCTATTATTTACAAAACTAATGTTAGTAACTGAATTGCTAAGAATTCTGACAAGTGTCTGTTAGGGACTGAACTCAGGAAAGGTCTGAAATAACTGACTTGTTATTCTGGAAAGAGAGTCTTTTGGGTTACCTTGCAATAGGAAGGAGTGAGGCTGGTTCTGTCATCTGGCTGCACTCATCCAGCACAACCACAGGGAATTTAAGGTCATTCATGGATGGGAATGGGCAGGCTGCACAGGTAATGCCAACAACTCGAACCTTTATTTAAAAAAGAAAAAAATGTGCTTTTGAGACAGAGACAAGGTAGCCCAGGCTAGCTTACAATGCACTGTGTAGACCATGTTTAGCCTCAAAACCTACCTCAGCCTCTCTCTAAAGTGTTGAGATTATGGTTGTGAGTCACGAGGCCCAGACAAACAAAAATATCACTAACCAATGGCTTTTACAAGTAAATTAAGAATTTACTGGAGAACTTAAAGGCAAAGTCAGATGATTAACAAAACCTATCTTGGTTCCTGCTCATAAGAAAACAGTTGTCACTTTATTGCTACATTTTCATTACTCTCACATACAAAATAGGTGTTACAGAAAATAAGCTACTTTATAAGGTCATTAGCAAGCGAACATTCACTCTGATATTACAACACAAGAAACATATTAAAGCATGAATGGTTCAGGAAGCTTCAAGGATGACATATGTCTTCCTTTACCTTCTGGGTAATAGAACACAGATTTTATTAACACTGACCCATGTTTTCCACAAAGACTACAGAATATGCTAACAAATCCACCCTTTGCTTAACTATGAAAGCTACAGCACTGTGATTACTTTAAAAGGTAGCTGGCTGGAAGCCCTGATTGCTCTTAGGGATGAAGAGGGAGGAGGAGGGGGAGGGGCAAAAGGCAGCGTTTTGGGCGGAGGGGCGGAAGTGAAAACTTTCATAATTTAATAAACTTTTTTTTTAAAAAAAAGGTAGCTGTCTAAGCAGGGCATGTCTGTAATTTCAGTGCTCAGAGGATTGAGGCAAGAGTACCAGAAATTCAAGGGCAGTTTGGGTTACACAGTGAGTCCCTGACTCAAATAAAATAAAAATTCAAATGTACTTTTACCTGTTAGTGTATCTGAATTGTATAAACCTTAAATATTATATCAAAATACCATTGAGTTCAAGGCACAAAACTCAAAAGGCCAATATTTAATCATTATATAATATACAATAGAAAAAATTATGAATTTTTAAAATTAGACATGGTTATTGATTCATTATCTGTGAGTTATACATATATACTGTATGAATGCTATTTATATATACCTACATCCATTTCCCTTCCTAGTATCTATAGTATAATTACGCCTGATAGCAAGAGCAGTCCAAATAAACAGAAGATCTACTTTTTAAAAATTACTTCTTTTTAGGACTAGAGCGATGGCTCAGCACTTAAGAGCACTAGCTGCTTGCTCTTCCAGAGGTCTTAAGTTCAATTCCCAACATCCACATGGAGGCTCACAACCATCTGTAACTGTAGTCCCATATGATCTGAATACACTTATACATGAAATACATAAATCTTTTTAAAAATCTTTTTTTGAGATTATAACTAAATCATTTCCCCTTCCTTTTCCTCCCTCGAAGCCTACCAAATACCCATCTTGCTCTTTCAAATCCATGACCTTGTTTCATTGCCATGTATGTGTCTGTTCCTAAATCCATCTGTATAATCTGCTTAGTTTACATGTATAATGCTACTTGTATATGTTTTTAGTGTATCCAATACCAAGTGGTTTTTTTCAATAAACCTAACTGACAAAAGTAGGGTTCTCAAATGTTGCTTCCATAGAGCCTACAAAAATATTATAAGCATTATTTTTTAATTTATTTTTATTTCATTGGTGTTTTGCCTGCATGTATGTCTGTGTTAGGGTGTTAGGTCCTGGAGTTACAGACTGTTGTGAGCTACTATGTGAGTGCTGGGAACTAAATCCAGTTCCCCTGAAGAGCAGTGTTCTTAACTGCTGAGCTATCTCTCCAGCCCTCTGCAAGAATTATTTCTATTATTTATTTATTTATGGTTTTTTTCGGGACAGGGTTTCTCTATGTAACAACCTTAGCTGTCCTGAAACTCACAGAGGTCTGCCTGCCTCTGCATCCCGAATGCTGGGATTAAAGGTGTGCATGAGCCCTGTCCCCTCCCCCACCTTCCTGCTCTGTTGAAGCATTATTTTCTTGATAATCATCACTCACAATAGCTCTTTATCAGTTAGGCTTTTACTCTTTCATTAAGCCCAACGACCCAACTTTACCCCCCAGGACCAATGTGGAGGAAGAAGAGAGCCTCTGCAAACTGTCTTCTGACCTCCAAATACATGCTATGGCACGTGCGTGCGCACACACACACACTCATACATAAATGTAATCTTAAAAACATAAGACCAGATGTGGTGCACACCTTTAATACCATCACTTATGAGGCAGAAGCAGGTGGATCTCTATGAATTTGAGGCCAACCTGGTCTACACAGCAAGTTCCAAGTCAGAGATACACAGAGAAACCCTGTCTCAAAAAACAAACAGCAACAACAAAAAATGTAACTTTAAAAAGACATCTGGGAGCTGGCAAGATGGTTCAGTAGGTTAGGAACCTACAGTTTCTTCAGGGGACCTGAGTTCAGTTCCCAACACTCACAATGGACAGCTAACAAATCCCTATAACTCCAGGTCCAAGGAATCTAACTCTCTTCTGTTCTCTGCAGGGCCCTGCATATTCACACACAGTCACACATACATACATATAAACTAAGATAAATAAATAAATAAATAACTGAAGCCACTTGGTCTTAGAAATCCTAGCGTGTAAGCATTTAGCTCTTTAAAAATAACCAATCCCTATAGCTCATACACTTCTTAGTCCAACTCTCGAATACTATCTGTTATTTGATTTCTGAAAACTATACTGACCAAAACAATTTAGAAGAAAAATCTTAAATTTATATATCAGTAAGCTTTTAAAAATATTAAAGAATAAAAGTTTTTTCCTTAAGATTTATACTATTTTTAGCTTGCTGCTATTGTTTGGGTTAGGGTCTCTCTACATAGCCCCAGCTGTACTGGACTCACTTTGTGGACCAGGCTGGCCTTCAATTCAGAGACTCACCTGCTTCTGCCTTCCCCAAGTGCTGGGATTAAAGGCAACACCAGGCTAGGCCATTTTTATCTTTTAATTCATTGTTATCCTGCTAAGGGTGAAACAGTAGGAGGCATTCTATTGCTAACTCGGAAGCAGTTACTATAAAGTAGGTTTTGAAAGTTTTATTGTAAAGTCAGGGTACTAAGGAGCATCAGGTATGTCTGCTTGACTGGACTGGGCATTTGTTAGTGCAGGTTTTTTAAAAAAAAACCGTTTCATTTGTGAATAGCTCTGGTCATAGAAAATTAATTTGAAGGGCTCTGAGAACTTCTAGCTGCTTGTGGCAGCTCACTCTATTAATCCCAACACTAGGGAGGCAGAGACAGGGGATCACTGTAAGTTTCAGATCAGCCAGGACTACACAGTAAGACCCCATAACAAAAACAAAATCAGTAACCTGGGAACTCCTAGAATGCAAACCTAACATGTACTGGTCATTACTTCCTATTTCGTTTTCCCTGTGAAGTTTTTATGACACCCACCACACTTGCAGTGCTCACCACCAGAGAGGCAGGTGGAGGTTGCTTCCTGGCCTCACTGATATGGGCTTGACCACATGTCTGATAAATTAGAGCAAACAGAACGTTAGAGGACAGGACATGAACAGAAACCTTAAAGGTCTAGCCTGCTCTCAAGTGCTGCTTTAAGTACAAAGTCGTTTGCAAACTGAACAAAGAAAAAGACTGGCTCACGGTCTAAGCTGAGATATAGCAGCTGACATGGAGTCATAAGTTGTCCTGAGATCCTGTTGTGCAGCAGCATGATCTCAGCAATAGCTGACCAAGTCAAGGTCTTGGATAGGCTGGTTTCCCAAAATCTCTTTGTAGAAATTGATCAATGTCCACGTGGCCCAAGAGAGCCAATTACTTTCCTTTTTCTTTACCCATTGTCCTGTTCCTCAGGTACCACTTTCATAAGATGAAGTCACCAAATCTTTCTATTGTACCCATAAAAACCCTTCACCAAGGAGATAGTACTTATTACAGTCCAGGCACCTGGCACCCAATGCCCGGGAGCAAGTGGAGTGCTACTTGGATTCTTGGGCACAGACAGATCCTGAGGGACCTGGCTTTCTAGGAGTACATCAAAGACAAATCTGCACTTTGATATTTCACCCAGAGTAAAAACTTTCTTTTTCAGGGGCTAGAGAGATGGCTCAGTGGTTAAGAGCATTGCTTGCTCTTCCAAAGGACCTGAGTTCAATTCCTGGCAACCACATGGTGGCTCACAACCATCTGTAATGAGGTCTGGTGCCCTCTTCTGGCCTGCAGACATACACACAGACAGAATATTGTATACATAATAAATAAATAAATAAATGAATAAATAAATGAATAAAAACTTTCTTTTTGTTCCTCCTAGAATACAATTTTTACTGGGTTCACTGAGAATCTATTCAAAGCTTCCCATTTTTGTCTTCAGGCTTCTATGTAAACGGAGAAGAAAGAATGCCGCAGCCATGGTAAGATGTTCACCACAAACTTGAAGAATGTTTGCAGCAATCAAAAGATGCACTAGGTAAAGTCTGTATGGACACAGAAGGCACACAGCTTGTTGAACCTAAGATCATCCATCCCACAACTAAAGAGAATCGATCTGAGCACAAGAGACAAATTAAGAAAGGAACTGATAAAATTTCACCTCACCTGCTTCAGCAGAGTTCTGTTGGTTCCCAGTTTATGCTGCTCAATACTTTTTCTCACATAAACCCTTTCTATAGCAGTCAGTTCTTCCTTCATCAATGCATGGAGTTCTTTCAATTGTTCATTTTCATTTTCTGAGCCAGCATGCAAGCTGAAATTGAATTAATATGAAAAAGTATTCTTTATTTCATTTCCTTTTTAAAAAAAGATTATTTATTTATTATGCACACAGTGTTCTGCTAAAGATTATTTAGTTATTATGCACACATATATGCCTGCAGGACAGAAGAGGTCATGAGATCTCATTATGGATGGGGGAACCACCATGTGGTTGCTGGGAATTGAACTCAGGACCTCTGGAAGAGCAGCCACAGTTCTTAACTTCTGAGCCATCTCTCTAGTCCCTATTTCGTTTCTCATCATACACTCTTATACACCACAGGAATAAAATGGATTAGATTATTTTATGTTTGTTTGCTTGGTTTTGCTTTTCAGAGACAAGATCTCACTGTCTGGTCCTAGCTGTCCCGGAATTAACTATGGAGATGATATTGACTTCGAACTCACAGAGAACCACCTGCTTCTGCCTCCCAAGACCCAGAATTAAAGGCATGCACCACGACATCTACTTTGGCTTACTCTTTCTAAGGTAGAATCTCTACTTAGGTTTCCTAATCTAACTAAAAACTAAAGCTATCTCTTTCTCAAAGGCCAAATTTCAGGTTAAAAAACACTTTCACATTTCCTCTTTTAAACTTTATTCTTTGTGACTTTCACATTATGCCTCCCAATCCCACCCATCTCTCCCCTGACATCCCAAAAATAAAATCAAAATAAAATTTAAGTGAAAAAAGAGGGGAAAAAAAAGGAAGAAGGGGAAAGGGAAATCTCATCGTGGAAGCTGCAGTGTGACACAATGAGACACGCAGGAAACCCCCTTTTCCATACATTTTTACATGCAGGCGTTCATTACAAAGAATCATTGGTCTGGTTCGAGGCCTCTGGGCTTCTCTTGCACCATCAATGCTGGGCCCTCACAGGGACTCTTCCTGGACATCCCACTGCTGCCCTGTGTTTTGGAGATCCTGGAGCCCTGGCTCCACGGGATTGAATGATAACCCACCACCCAGCCTCCAATGCTCCAGCAGATCACAGAAGAGATGGATGTAGGGGTGGACCCATTTTCACACTTCTTAGAATATTCTGTAACTTTTAGGATTTAGTAGTCTCACCTGTATGGTAAGATTGGCTTGGCAATCTTCCTAACACTGCCAACTCTGATGAACTTCTCAAATCCAAGACTGAGAAGCCTTAAAGAAAATAAGACAAGAGATTCTCCTTACTTACAAAACATCGTGGAAAACACAGTTTCATCAAGTTTTTCATATATACACACACACTCACACAAATGTAATATGTGTGTGTGTATAATTTATTATTTTGTGTGCACTAGTGTTTTGTTGAATGTATATCTTTATGAGAGTGTTAGATTCTAGAGTTACAGACAGTTGTGAGTTACCATGTGGGTGCTGGGAATTGAACCTGGATCCTTTGGAAAGTCAGTCAGTGCTCTTAACTACTAAGCCATCTCTCTGACCCTCTGAACTTTTCTTTAAAGACAGTGTACCAGTATATCGCCCAGGCTATTCTTAAACTCTCAGTGCTGTTATCTCAGCTTCCTGAGTGCTGGACATAAAATGTGCACAACATGTTCAAGTGTATTATTATTATTTCATAGGGCTGTGTTCCAAGAGCTAGAGATTCAGTATGAAATATCTAAATTCAAATAAAGTAAAGCAATGTAGTTGAAAGATCTCTCATAGAACATATTTGAGATTTTTGCAATTGTCTTCCTTTCTTGGGGCTGGAGATCAAACCCAAGAACTTATGCGTGGGATATAATCACTACCACTGAACTACCTCCTCCTGATCACATTCTGCAAAAGATTTTTAAATACATTTATTTTACACTAAGAGGTTACATTAGTTCTTTTCTACTGCTTTGATAAAACAGTGACAAAGGCAACTTATAGAAAAAAGAGTTTACTTGGGCCTTATAGTTGCAGGGGAATAACAGTCAAAGGTGGTGGGGTGCAGGCAGCAGGCAGCTGGAGCAGCGGTTGAGAGTTCACATCTTGATCCATAAAGCAGACAGGGCTTCTGAAATCTCAAAGCCTACCTCCAGTGACATACTTCCTCCAGCAAGGACACACCTCCTAACCTTCCTCAAATGGCCACTAACTAGGGACCCAGTATTCAAATCACCATAGAGGTCTTTAAGCATTTGTAAAATACCAGTGTTGGGACTGATCAGAAATAAAATGCCAGTTGGGCAGTGGTAGCACATACTTTTAATCCCAGCACTCAGGAGGCAAAGACAAGCAGATCTCTGTGAGTTCGAGGCCAGTCTGGTCTACAAAGCGAGTTCCAGGTCAGCCAGGACTGTTACACAGAGAAACCCTGTTTTGAAAAATCAAAATGAAAGAAAGGAAAAGTTCACGATATGTAATAATTTGAGAAGCAATAGATACTCTAAATTTTGCATCAAGAGCATCTTCAGTATGTTACTATATATATGCACACTATCCCATCTTAGAGAGAAGGGCACTGAAGCTCAAGTGGAGATGATTTAGTCAAGCCTACATCATTAACAAGTAGACAAGGTTGAAGACAGGGCTCGGAGGTCAAGAGTATTTGCTATTCTTCCAGAGGACTCTGGTTTAATTCTTAGCACCCACACTGTGGCTCATAACCATCCATTACTCCAGTTCTAAAGGATTCAATGTGTTCTGGCCCCTGAAGACATTGCAGATTCATGAAGCACAGACATAAATGAAGACAAACACCCATATATATACAATCTTAAAACAAACAAAAATGATTTTTTTAAAAAAGTAGAGTCATGGGCCGGAGAGATGGCTCAGTGGTTAAGAGCATTGCCTGCTCTTCCAAAAGTCCTAAGTTCAATTCCCGGCAACCACATGGTGGCTTACAACCATCTGCAATGAGGTCTGGTGCCCTCTTCTGGTCTGTAGACATACACACAGACAGAATATTGTATACATAATAAATAAATAAATAAATAAATATTAAAAAAAAATGTAGAGTCAGTCAAGACTAGAGCTCAGCTAGACTCTCTGCCTCCAGAGGCTAGGATGCTCCTCTATAAATCCTGATCCCCTAATTAGGGCTTTGTGCAGAAGGAGACGTGATTCCCTCCCCTCTTGTACCTTATCGCTCTAGTTCCATGCTAGCTCAATGAGTACGAGGTCCTCTAAAATGCTGGCACCATCTCAGAAATGGGAACTTAAAGACAACTACAGGAAATTACAGCCCTTTAAACACAGTTTCCCCAAGTGATGACAAAAAGCACAGTGTTAGTATATAAACAGATTCCAATTCTTACCTTTCCTAGTCTGACAAGATCTAGAACTGATTTGGAGGTTACATTACAACTGCAGAACTTAAGTCCCACCCTAATTGTGGGCGGCACCACCTCCTAGGTCCCACATTAATTAAAAAGGAGAAAGGAAGCAAAGCCCCAGCCCCTGCCTACCTCACACTCTGTTTACAGTGTATGGGCGCACTATGCCCAACTGCCCCATGCTTCTGCAGCCATGATTTCCCCAGCGTGAGGCACTGTACCTTGGAACTGTGGATATGATAAGTCTTTTCCTCCCTAAATCATTTTGTCAGCATATGAAGAAAAGTAACTAATAGGCCTCAGTTTAGAGAAAAGTTAGCTACTTCGCAATATGAAATAGTTAGTGGTCATTTTTCAATACAAGTTTGAATTAAATCTGTAATAATATAGGGGCAATATTCTCAGAGCAACGCTACTTTAGGGTAATGTGTACTATGTTTATGCGTTCATTTTTTTTTAAAAAAACAAAACCCTTTGTCTTATTCTGCCCATCACACTAGACAATGTCTGTTCCAAGGCGGAAGAATGATACTTCACTGTGAAGAAATAGAGGAACCCAGCCGATGTGCAGTTGAGACACGTATCTAGTAAGGTTCACAGGTTCACATTTCTCAGGTCCTTTTCAGAGATTCAAGTATTAAATAGCCTTCTAAAATGGCTGTGAGTGTGGTTCAGTGGAAGAACACTCACTCAGCATGCACAAAGCCTCAGGTTCTATCCCTAGCACAGTACATGCACACACACACACACACACACACACACACACACACACACACACACACGGAGAGGGAGCGAGACAGAGGGAGACAGAAAGTACACAGACTTCCTGCATTTCTAGATTGAATGTTTACCTGCCCTTTTCATTCTAACCTCTCAATACATGTTTTCTAACAGTCTCATGTAAATTTTCATTTCAGGCTAAGCAATCTAAGTTTGTTCTTTCCATCGAAGTGCTAGGAAATTCCTCATTATCTTAGATTTTTTTTTTTAAAAAATGCTATCCTTAGTCACTCTTAGATTTCTCATGAGAGTGCACAATAGTGCACTTTCCCAATGGAAAATTTTATAAAACATATCAAGAAGCTTAGGATGCTTCTTATTTTTACCCTAGCTTAGGATGCTTTCCTTAGCTTACAAGTTGGCTTGGTGGGTAACTTGTTGCATAAGTCACACAGGCTACATTTGATCCACAGAACCCATGGTGGGAAGAGAGAACCCACTTCTGAAAATTGTTCCCACACCTCCATGCATGCGCTGTAGCACAGGTGTGCCCATAGTCTGTCCGTCTGACTGTCTGTCTCTTTCTGTCACACGTTTTTTTTAAGTTATTTAAAAACAAGATATAGAGATAGATATAAAGACTTATATCCAAGATTTTTGTCACAATATAATTTATATTGGTAAAATTTTGACATGAATAATGGTATAAGCAAATCAATGAATAGAATTATGAAAAGTAATTGGGCACTATATCACACAGCTTGAAACCAAGCGCTAAAAAAGGCAGAGGTAGATGAATCTCTAAGTTCCAAGACAGCCAGGGAGTAAGATCCAGTACATGTGTATGTGCACATGCATGTGTGTTGGACATGTTAGGCCACTGCTTCACTACTGAGCTACATCCCCAGTCTAAAATAATCTTTAAATTTAAAATGTTGTCCTCTGATCTCCACATGTATGTATGCTGTGGCACACACACAGACACACACACACACAGACACACACACACACACACAGAGAGAGAGAGAGAGAGAGAGAGAGAGAGAGATTAAACAAAAAGACTAGCTATATGTGTCATGGATTTTTAAAATAAAAGCCGTTATTTATTCTGATATTCAGATAAATACTAAATTATTGGTAAATATTCAGCATTTCCTTGGTATTTAAAAACTATATTTATTTATTGTCTGTGTGTGTGCACACTCATGATAATTTGGACACACATGTCTATGTTCATCAGTCCTTCTTTGTAATTAAAAAACAAACAAACAAAAAGGAAGAGCACTTGCTATGCAAGCATGAGTCATGAGCTCAAATCCCTAGCACACCACATTAGAAACCGAGAACCTGACACAGTCATGCAATCACTTATAACCTCGCACTTTGAGGGACAGAGGCTAGATCCAGGCTCAGAAAGAGACCCTGTCTCCAAGTAATAAGGCAGAGTGATAAAGTAGGATAGCATTCTCCTCTGAGCTCTGTACATATAAAGGTGTGCACTTGTACCACCGAGAGAGAGTAAATTAAAAATTCTTATGTATTTACTGTTATTGTTATTGTCTTCTTTGTATCCCTCTTATTAAAACAATGGTATAACTTACATTGTTCAGCTATATTAATGTGTTTATACAGCTGCATGAGTGGGCTATAACTGTTGGTTAGGGGATTGGATTTTAACTTACATCTATAATAATAAACTCAACCCTCTGAGTCAGAGGCAAAGGGTTTTTACTTATGACAAGAAATAGCATAAGCACCATGGTGCGTACGAGTCCTTTGGTCCCCACAATCCCCCAGGAGATGTAGAGCATCTTGCAGATGCCTGCACGTGCAATGGGCTCAACAGTACAGCTAAGGAGCACTGAGGTTGGAAATCCACCACTCTTAGCAACAAGCAGCAGGCAGTTCTCCCTTTAATTTCAGTCCAACTTGCAACCCTGAGAAATGCCTTTCAAAGGAATGCTCAGGGCTCACACCAGACGGCCTCCCCCAACAACACACTTTCAGCCCTACATGCTCTTGGCTGAACTTGTATTCTAGAGGGTTATTCTAAACTGTTTATGACAAACTGTCAGATAAATGAACAATTATTACTTAAGAAACTAGACTGTTACTACTTCATAGCTGTTGGGTCAGAAGCAATGGCCTTGCATTCTTGTCAGGCAGCAAGAATACATATGGACATTGGGATAATCTAAAATATCAGCTATTTAAATCCGCTTGTCATACTTACCCAAGAAGCACTCTATCAACAGCTACATTAGTGGAAGAAGAAATGAGAAGCTTCCAAGGCCTTGCGTTTCCAACTGTTCCAGCATCACACTTTTCAAACAGCTGTACAAAGAACAAAATCACCACAGCCAGCAAATAGCTTTTGCCTGCTCCAAAAACACCTAAAATATCACAAAAACTTTTATGAATGTACAAGCAATATTTTCTCTATCTCGCCCTCCTTCGTTTAATTAATTTATTCAAAAACGATGTCCACTTAGTGCTATGCAAGAGGATAAACAGATAAACATTTTCATCTTCAGTAAGGCTACAGTCAACAGGATAAATAGGTAAAGATACGATATGGTAATAGGGTAACATTGCTAAGGAACCAGAGAAGGAAGACTATCTTTGCCTTGGTGGCGATGGGAAGACGTCCTTTAAAAAAAGAAGTCGTAGAACTAAGTCTCCCAGAATCCCACACCAACAGTCTACAAAATGTCAGCTAAGCATGTTAATAGCATTCTTAGAAATTTCTAGGTGTATAGCAAGCAGGCAAGAATGGAGGTTTGGGTAGGCAAAGTGATAAACACAGAGGATAAATCAATCTTGGGAGGCACAGGCAGGTGGATCTCTGTGAGTTCCAGGCCAGTCAGGCTATATCAAACAAAGATAAATCATAAGTCTACTATGGCTAAAATTTTTGAAATTTCTCTGGAAGCTGGCAGGCAGACACCGAAGGATTTTAAAGAACAGGACTGTCTTGTAAGAGTGTGTGTCTTAGAAAAACTATGTGGAAGCTGGGCAGTGGTGGCACATACCCTTAATTCTAGCACTTGGGAGGCTGACGCAGGCGGTTTGACACCAGCCTGGCCTACAAAGTGAGGTCCAGGATTGTTAGGGCTGTTACACAGAGAAACGCTGTCTCAGAAAAACATTTTAAAAAGAGAGAGAGAGAGAGAGAGAGAGGGAGAGAGAGAGAGAGAGAGAGGTGGAGGGAGGAAGGAAGAGAGACTACATGAGTCAAATGTGGAAAAGGTGAGACTACAATGGAGCATCAGCATAATGAACGCTGACTTTACTGAGGGCCCCACATGCTGTGCAACTTCTCTAAGCATTCTACTTACATTTAATCATTTAAGCATCCAACCACATGAGGTATATGCTATTTTTACACATTTCCAAGAAATTAAAGCTAAGAAGTAAGTCTCCTATTCAAAATCATACAGTCAATAAATAATGATGGAGCCAGAATATGAAAGCAGTGTTCTAATTTAAGATTTTACATTCTTACCCACGAGAAAACAACGAAAGAGCAGGATAAGCTATAAATGTCTACATTTACTACGACTGTCTCTTTCTTACCATGAATGATTGTGATAGGCAGGGGAGGGGTGCAGGGCTGCAGTGCGTCTTCACCACTTTCTTGAGAGGCCATCATTTGAGCTATCTGAATTAGTGCTGTAGCTTGATCCTTGTTCAACCTGTGTATATGAATCAACTCACTAGCTAACTGCAGGGTCACTCCGAGGTTCAGGAGTTCAAATTTTGTTTTAATATTTGCAACAGCTGGTGGGATAAATTTTCTTTTACTGACATTTTTATTGCTAGCTGTAGTTGGCCGAGACCTAGTAAAAAGAGAGTACATCAGAAACATGACTTTTGAAATGTGTGATTGGACTCATTCATAACTTAGCTTTCACTTTACAATTGTCAGAGAGTTTCTGGAGGAGAGGATTCAATTTAGAGGGTTCAAGAGAACTAATAGTTACGAAATACCTACTATATGCTGGCATGAACTTAAGTAGTTTACTCATTGATTTATATACTCTTCACACCAAAAAAATTAATGACCCCAAGTAGAGATACACAAATATTGAAATGTTCCCACAAAAATCACAGCACTAATTAATAGACTGGTTTACATAATTAACATAGCTTCTACTTCAGGCAAAATTACAATAGACAAATGATTTTATTGTTATGTATAAGATATAAAAATAAAGTTACGGGCTGGAGAAATGGCTCAGTGATTAAGAGCATTAGCTGCTCTTCCAGAGGACCTGGGTTCAATTCCCAGCATCCACATGGCAGTTCACAACTGTCCAATTCTAGGGGATCTAACACCCATGGCAAAATACCAATGCACACATTACGACAAAGAAAAGGGTAATACTACAAGATAACAATCCAAATTGGAAGATAGGAGTTCATTGGTGAAGCACTTGTATGGGGATGGATGCCTAGTGCAAGAAAACATACTTTTCTCATTTTAATGCATTCACTTTCCAGTTGTTATAATTAATTTATCCATTCTTTGATTTATTAAAACAAGGTCTCATGTATCCCAGATTGACCTGAAACTCTCAATGTTGCTAAAGATGAACTAGAATTCATGATTTTTCCATCTCCATCTCTGAAATGGGAAGAGTACAATATATTACCACAGCTGCTTTATGTGGTAATAAATATGATACCTAGGGTCTCAAGGATATGGCAAAATGAGCTGTAGCCAAGTCCCATTCCTGATTTTTTTTAAAAAGCTTTGATATTAGAGAAATTAAAATGTGAGATATAAGTAATTAGAACAAAAATAGTATCAACATCATACTTTCACATCTTTTTTTGGATGCTAAGCAATATGGAACATAAAGATACAGAGAAGTGGCTGGAGAGAGGCTCAGGGGTGACGAGCACTGGCTCTTCTTCCAGGGAACTCAGGATCCACTCCCAGCATCCACACAGCAATTCACAACTGGCTGTGTATCTAGTTCTAGGACAACCAATAGCCTTTCTGGCCCTCAGACGCAGGGACACACACGGTGTACATACATGTATGTATGTAGGCAAAACACCAGATAAACCATATACAGTAAAAACCATATAGATGAATAAAATTATGCACTATAACGACCCTTTAAAAAATTGTCCCCAAGATAAAGAGAAATAAATTTCAATATAAGCCCAAACCACAATAAATAAACAGATGGAAGGGAAGTAATACATACTTTTTTCCTTTCCTCTTACAAATTTTATTTATTTATTTTTGGTGCTAGGGATCAAAGCTAGAGCCTCACACATGCTGATAGCATCCTATCACTGAGCCACATCTGCTCTATGCTTAACTTCTAATACACGATAATCTTCTAATCTAAAAGATAATTAAAATTTTGTTGGTGAAATATATTTAATGTTCTGTTATTGCACTTTCAGTTACCATCTAGGATGATTAATTTTTTTTGTCAACTTGATACAAGCTCTGTCATCTAGGACGAGGGAACCTCAGTCAAGAAAACAACTCCATCATATTGGCCCATAGGAAAACCTGTGGGGCATTTCCTTGATTAATGATTGATGAAGAAGGGTTCAGCCTATTGTAGGTTGTGCTACCTCTAGGCAGAGGATTCTGAGTTGGAAAAAAAAAAAGGCAGACTCAGCAAGCCAGTAAGCTATGTTCCTCCATGGTATCTGCTTCAGTTCCTGCCTCCAGGTTTCTGCACTGAGTTCCTGCCCTGTATTCCCTTCATGACAAACTATACGCTGGAAGATAAAATTAAGTCTTTCCTCCCAAGCTGCTTCTGATGATAGTGTTTATCAAAGCAGCAGAAAACAACAGAAAGCAAACTAGGACACCATAATTTAAAACCAATGATCAAAGATAAAAAATGACTTACATTGCTAAGAGGTATGGCATTATGGGAAGACTCGCTGGGTTAAAGTAGTCCTGAATGTTCTGCAGTGTTGTCAGCTCTGTGCTGGCATTACAAACCAATAATGCATGGACTGTTACTACAGAGACAACATAGAAAATGGATATTAGGTGTAAATAAAACCAACACAAACAAACTGATTAAATGTCCTTACAACTCAGAGGTTAGCTTCTGAACTAGTCAGAAGACAGAAAATGAAATTTTCAGGACATGCAGAGGTGTTTAAATGTCTATCTTTTACACTACCGTGCCCTTCAGTCATTTATTTTGAGTGTGAGCATTCATAAACCGTGTAACTGAAATCACACTTGGAACGATCAGCAGTTAGTATTTAGGCATCTGTACTGGCCTGCTCTTGGGCTGCAGCCACTAAGAGCACCTTCTGTGTTCCCTTTTAAAAGGTAGGCCTTGCCCAACTCCAATCTCTCTCTTTCTCCGTCTGTTCCTTTCTCTCTCTCTGCTTTTCTGCCTGTCTTCCCCTACCCCTATCTCTCTGCCTCTCTTCACTTAGAGAATTTCTCAAAATGGCTTAGATAATCAAGATAAAAATCATATTTGGCTGAATCTCAAATCTCTAAAACCTCAATGTAAAGATACATTGTTTACTAAATATGCCTTCAAAGTCCAAGAAAATGAGAACCCATCTAAATAAAATTATACGAAAAAGGACTCATGCCCGAAATCAGGTATATAGAAAATTTAATCTTAACCAAATAATAACTGTTAGTTTAAGATTTCTTTTTTTATGTGTAAAAGTGGGGTTTTTTTCCTGCATACATACATATGTATACTATACATGTGCCCAATGCCTTAATAGGTCAGAATAGGGTACTAGATCTTCATAACTGTCATTACAGATGATTATTACCCATTGCATAGTTGCTGGGAATAAACCTGGGTCCTCTGCAAGAGCAATAATTGCCTTAATCACTGATATATCTCTCAAGCCCCTCAAGATTTCATTATACTCTTAGTTCTATGGGACTTGAACTGTAGAAATATTTACAAGTCTGGGTGGTGGTGGTGCACACCTTTAATCCCAGCACTCGGGAGGCAGAGGCAGAGGCAGACGGATCTCTGTGAGTTAGAGGACAGCCTGGTCTATAAGAGCTAGTTCCAGGATAGGCTCCAAAGCTACAGAGAAACCATGTCTTAAAAAAAACAAAAAACAAAAAAAATAACCATAAAAAACAAAAAAGAAATATTTACAAATTCAACTTTCATACATGTGTTAGTTTTATTTCAACCTGACACAAACCAGGAAGAGGTAACCTCAAATGAGAAAATACTAATACTTCCATTGGACTAGTCTGTAGGCAAGCCTGTGGGGTATTTTCTGAATTTACGACTGAAGGGCCCAGGCCACTGTAGGCAGTGCTACTTCTGGGTAGGTGACCCTGGGCTGTATAACAAAGCAGGCTGAACAAGCCACAGAGAACAAGCCAGTAAGCAGTGCTCCTCTGTGATTTCTACTTTAGTTCCTGCCTTGAACAACTGCCATGGCTTGATGACTGGCCATAACCAGTAAGACAAAATAGACCCTTCCTTCCCCCAAGTGGATCATACTGCATACAATCTGTTGTTCTGTTTAAGTAGAAATTAGGTGGACATAATGATACTTACTGTTCGTGGGCCAGTTAGAAGGGAAATAGCCTTTCAAAGGCAGCAGCTCCACTTCATTGACAGAAGATGGCCCAAAGAAGACACTGCATGCAATGAAGGTATCTAGTTGGAAGTCTAGGGTTTTTGAAATCACCCAAAGATCACCTGAAAGGTCAAACATTTTCAAATCCCTGCTTTACTGAGGTAAGCTTGACCAAAACAAATAAACAAAACAAAACTACAGCTCGTTGGGATTTCAGCATGGCATTTTGTGGGTGGTAGTAGGGATTGAACTTAATGCTTTGTGTATGTTATGAAGCCATTCTATCACTGCACTACAAGTCTAGTACAACACATTTGATATGTCTTCTGTGATGGTTTCCACAAGCAAGATAATTAACATATCTATCACCTGACATGGTTACTTCTGTGTGCCTGCTAAGAACCCTTAATCTCCACCTTTTGCAGACTTCAAGTACACGATACATTATGATTGGCTGATAATATAAATTAGATCACTAAAACTCACAACAGAATACATATATACTCAGACAGGTACTTGCATGTACATAAAATAAAAATACACCTTAAAAAATTGTGTGTTTCTATTGTTTGTAAAAGAAAAAAAATGTAAAGAACAATTTGCTAGGCCTGGAGGGATGGCTCAGCCGTTAAAGGCTAGGCTCACAACCAAAAATATACGAACAATTTGCTGATATTTCGATCAATAAAGACAAAAGATGATTCACAAAACTAACAAAATAGACAAATCTCAGGCAAAACTACTCAGGAGAACAAAATATACAAACCACATAAGTTTTAGAAAATTATAAAGTATTAATACATTGAACCAATGACTTCTACAGAGATTTGCCCAGCCCTCAGGGGGTGAGGAAAGAGGTAGTGAGAGCCTGTCCCCCATAGACATGAAAGTTTTCAAACGTTTATTTATTGAGTTCAGAGATAATAAAACAAGATGTCATTCTCTAAGGCTGGCAAGGCAGCTGAGCAGATAAAGCACCTGGAACCCACATGGTGAAAAGGAGAAAACTAACTCACTCAGCTACCCTGATTTCCACATGCATACCGGGATGGGTCTGAGTGTAATCTAGAGATTCAACTTGCATCAGAATTCCAGCAGGCTTTTTTTCATAAAACTTCACCAGATGCCTTTAAATGCATATGGAATTGCAAAGTGACAAGAGCAATGTCTGGAAGCGAGGGGAACTCTTTGTAGTCTGATTATTAGGACTTAAGCCACAGTAATTTAAGCACTGTGGGACTGGGAGAAAGATATATATAACTCATGTAAGCCCAGCATGGTAGTTCCTACCATTAATCCCAGTCAACGCTCAGGTGGCTGGGGCAAGAGAAACTGGGAATTTAAGACAGAAAGACACTGTCTCCATGAACCAAAAATTAAGAAAGGAAAGAGATGTGGCTCAGTGATAAATTCCCTTCCTAACATATGCCAGGCCTTGGGTTTGATTTCTCCCACTTACAGTATAAAAGAAGTCTAGAAAAGGCTTGAAATAAAAAGACTTGGTAATGAGAAGAAATTTACAATATACCTGACCAACAAAGGAACAACATGAACACATAAAAATCTTTTATAAATGGGATCGCTAAAAATTCAATAGTAAAGTAGATGAGGAACACATACAGCTAGTAAACACATAAAGAACATTTTGAAGTCACTGAAGAGAAAAGTGTAAACCAAACTACAGGTTCACTATATACCCACTTGAGTAGGTTGACCCACAGCTTCTCTTGTACTAAGACTACACTTGGTAAAAACTACTACGGAAATCAGTTTGGAATTCTAAAATAAAGATGGATGTTACATTCTCATGATCTGTAATACATTTCCCTTTCAAGGATTGTATCTCTAAAAGTCTTGTGAATATCTACAAAAAAGAGTAAGAATCCCATACCAGGCTAAGGGAGGACTGGGGTAAGAATAGGTCATGAACGCTGAGAGGTGGTGGTGCACAGAGTGAGTTCCAGGTCAGCCACGGCTGTTACACAGAGAGACCCTGTCTTGGAAAAAAAAAAAAAAAAAGGTCTGGCACAGAATTAAATTACTTTACTGTTTATATGGTATCAAAAATTTAGTGCAATTTTTCAATAAAGTGGTTTCTGGAATAAATTTTTTTAAAACTCTTAAAACTTTTTGTTTTTAGTTTTTGGAGGTAGAGTTACTCTGTGTGGCCCTGGCTGTTCTGGAACTCTCTGTAGACCATGCTGGTCTCAACTCACTGTCTCTTGAGTGCTGGGATTAAAAACTCTAAAAATTCTCAGTATACTTTTTAGAAATGATCTACAACATCACAATTTTCACTATATGGCACTGTTAAATTATACTTTAAAAATTCTCTTTACTATAAAGGATTTGCAGAGCTATGGAACTCAATCATGAACATGGTCAGGTCCACCTACATTTATTATAAGTTGAAGAGCTCTCCTTCCGACTTAGCTTAAGATAAATCTTATTTTTTGTTTCTCTGCAAAATTCAGGGTTCACAGTTGCAAACGTCTTTAGTTTACCGTACTGTTTCCTCTGAAGATCAAATCCTTTCCTGAAAATAAAATAACAAAAGATTCAAATGAATTTGAGTGGCTAAGAGATTGCTCAGGTTAAGAATAACTCCCTGGAAACCCTGACTGTTCTTAGGACTAGAGAGGAAGGGGGAAGTGGGGAGGGGGTGGGAAAAGGGAGGCAGGGAGGAGGTGGAAATTTGTAAGAAAGAAAGAAAGAAAAGGGAGGCAGGGAGGAGGTGGAAATTTGTAAGAAAGAAAGAAAGAAAGAAAGAGAGAGAGAGAGAGAGAGAGAGAGAGAGAGAGAGAAAGAAAGAAAGAAAGAAGGAAAAAGGAAAGAAAGAAAGAATAACTCCCTGATCTCCCAGGAACCTTGGGTTCCCACATCCACATCTGCATCTGCCAGCTCACAAACACTTGTAACTCCAGCTCCAATAGATCCAATAACCTCTATGCTTCCACAAGTACCCACAAACATATGCACATACATATACACACAATATAAATAAATAATAATCTTTTAAAAGGAATTATTTTAATTTTTAACACAGAACATATGTGTTTATTTACTTTCAGAGATGTTGCAAAATATAAATATTATAAATAGATACATAAATATATCGATTAGCTGGGTGGTGGTAGCACACGCCTTTAATCCTAGCACTAGGGAGCAGAAGCAGGTGAATCTCTGTAGGTTCAAGGCCAGCCTGGTCTACAGAGTGAGTTCCAGGACAGTTCAAAGTTATACAGAAAAACCCTGTCTTGAAAAACCAAACCAAAACAGAGA